GCTGAAAGTCAAGACCAAAGTAGTTTAGATTACAAATTCATGATATTACAATTCATTTAATTTAATAACACTATGCTTGACACTATTGTGAATAGTTGTCATGGTATAAAAAAACAAAACAAAAGAAAACAAAATGATTCATCAGTGAATTTCAATTTTCATCTCTGAATTGTTTTAGACAAAATAACTTCTATTTAATTCAATTATTGTTACTCAGTTTACACAGTAAATATCTTATATGGTTACAGTATATTTTAGGATCGTTCAATTATATGAAGTGAAAGGAATCGATATGTTGATATTTCCCATTCATTATGTCCGTTCTTATTATTATAACTAACTAATAATTTCAATGGTTAAGATCATGAGTCAATTGAACCTAGACCACCATGGAAAACCTGGAAGCACTGGACAACCATTTCGTCCTATTGTTGAACACCTCAGCCATTGAAATTACTACAATCTCCACAAAACCCATCTGATATTAACTAATAATTACCAATATAATCCACGTTGAATACATCTGAGTACATGACATATGAGAAAAACATATGCAAATTCTCTATATTGTTATCAATACTAGTCTATGCAACATTAATATTAAACAAGTTATTCGTAAAGCATAATGATGAATGAATGAATGAAAATGTTCAACAGACATCATAGCTAAACGCTTGTAAGTTACCATAGTTGAAGAAGACATTAATAATAACATGGAAGATATTTTTATATAAAGTCCGTATACAATGAAGTATGTTAAAAAGAGTGAGAGAGAAAAGAAAAAGAGAAAAAAGAGTGAATCATTTTACAAAATAAACATTTCAGCTATCAAGACTGTATGAATGAATCAAGTTGACAAATTTGTACAATGGAACTGTCTTAACTAACTAGAAATTGTTAATTGACAATTTATTTAGCCTAAAACGTGGTAACCTATAGGATAATGTGTGAAATTAAGAAGCGATTCACAGGAAAAAAGCAATTCATTCTGGTGGTTAAGCTCTCGCGCTCATGACCGATAGGTCCTGGGCTCGAATCTCGTGAGGTGCGATTGTGGATGAACACTAGTGAAGGGTCCCACAATAGGACGAAACGGCCGTCCAATGCTTCTAGGTTTTCCATGGTGATTTAGCTTCGGCTGACACATGATCTCAACCATTGAAATTACTGTAATATCCACGAAAAACCCTTTGATATTAAATTGAAACAGTGTTTAGAAATTGAAAAATATCATTGACTAGTCTTAGTTTCCACATTTCGCTTTAATGAATCAGAGGAAAGTAGTAAACTTTTCGGTAAATGAGTGGAACATTAGACAATACAAATATAATTTGATATGAAAAACTGTAACTGAAGAATGAAAAGTATGAAATAATTATTAGCTTCATTGAGACCTATTTCAGTCTCTTCACGTAAGAACTTTAATCATATATAATCCTACTATTTCATCTATAAACATGCCAACTTTCCCGAAACCTTATATCTACTTTTATTAATCTTCATTTAGCGATTACGTTTTACTTCAACAATGGTTCAAGCACATCCTTCAATTACACATATCGTTTAACTTTATAAATAATGTTCGATAGTCGTCAGTTTAAATCTGGTAAGAATTGCATCCTAAATATTCTTGTACTGCCTTTCATGATCTTCAAGTAATCTTAGGTTTCCTCTGATTATCCACCAAATAGAACTTTCATTTTTACACTATAACTCAGTAGGAGAATATCTGGGTGAGAGCACAATTCTAGAACAGTCAGACTATGAAACAGTTACCTTCAGATGAATAACTACGGTAATGATAAAACAGGAAGTGTCAGCCTTCTTGATGAATGTCAATCGACACAATAAGTATAGATGACGATTTGCTGTAAGAAATGCCCGACCAATTGTATTTTAGTACAAACCATTGGGAAACTCAGATTTTTTTCAAATATTCGGTAACAATCAATCAAAAAGGATTTTTAAACAATTACTATTTTTAAGTTATAGAACTTTTCTATATTATTGAATCGAATGCCACAGAACTCTCATCGTGCATATCTGATTATCAGGCACAAAAACACACATTTTTCCATGTCGTGTGAATTAAGTGTTTTATTTTTTAGGTCGATGTAGATCCTAGACACATTTTTTAATTATAGAAAGCGCCACAAGACCGATCGACCAATGAAGTTAAACAATGACTATTGGTCGAGGATTAAAACTATTTTGAAGTCAATAAGTATATCATAGTCTAAGGAACTGATGAAGAGAAGCGTATTAGTTCATAGATGCTAAACCATATTTTCAGTCTGCCTGGATTTGCCAAATTCGTTAAAGTTCGGACGATTTTAGAAGTTTAAATCCTTAGAAACCGTATCTATCGAACTACTTTTACATTGCTTGCCACAAGACAACTTCAGTGATTTCGTATAAACTAGATGATCAGTAATTAAGAATTGTCAAAAGGAATAATACCTAACTAAGACTTTAGCTATCCTATATAAATAGTGATTTTAAATCGTCTTCCATATGAATCTCCGGCATCAACTTGTCGGCAAATGTTGTCACTGTTTAATTCGAGCTGATTCCAGCCTATTCATTAAGAATTAAAGGTTGTATATTAATCATCAGTTTAGTTTATTGGTGATCATTAAGCAACCGCAGGATAAATAGAGGACAATTAGATTTTCCCTCAATGTTTGGTTTATCGTTAAGATACCTTATCGGTTAATTAAAGATTTATTTGTTCCGATTTGAGTAACATCTTTTGTGTGACGGCTAATAAGCGATTTAAGCCACAAAGGCAAATAGGCATTTTGGGTTCTGAAGCTGCAACGAACTGTATCAAAGGTAAGTTCTTTGAATACTTTACCAGGGCTTCATCAGACAATCGTTTTAGCCACGTAGTTTGAAGACTTCGCATCATGAGAGAGAATTTAGTTTTCTTAACCCTTTTTACGTATCAGACTATTACTGATTACAGTGGGTAATTCCAGTTTCCTGGTCAGTTTTTAACGACAAATCACATTCTATTAATGGCTTATATTTATCGTTATTTTTTAACTCAGATAGTAAACAATAAAGATATGCTTTATGAAGGAAATCAAAACGACACTAAGGATAACGTTTATTATGACCAAACAATATGTATTCGATAGGATGTAACAGTTATAAACTACAAATTAGGTTCAAAGGCATGTAGATTTGAACAAGTTATTTTCACATAATTTAAAGATCATTACACTAAGGTATACAGTTAAGTATCTGGTCAGTTCCCTCTCTTAGTATCACTTCAATAATTTTGTCAGTCGGCTAAAAACAATCGATCTGATTTATTCAATCTCCCATGTTATTTTACAACTGTTATTCATATAATATTCAATAATAATTTTTAAAAATTACATATTTCCATTAGGGGGTTAGAAAACAAAATTGACCTGAGAAAGGTTTCTTTTTGATCAACTATCCATTAATAGCTCGATGTTATTATTATTACATAGATTTTACAATGAGTATACCAGGTTAATTATAGTTATTTAAGATTATGCTGAACGTTTAAATGGGATTAACAATGATCTAAATCAGAAGGGGGTTTTGTAGAGATTTTAGTAGATTAATAGTTGAATTTATGAGTTAATTAAAGCTAGATTTCAGGATTCCATGTAAGCGTTTACCTTGTGATGCAGTTTGATTATTTCTGTAATGTATATCCTATCCACTTTCCTAATTTCCTCCTCATCTGGAATCTGGTTTGTTTTCTTTCACAGTATAATGTTGCTGATGGTTTCCGGTCAACAGATGTGGAATATCTTGTGTTTATAAGTACTTGTACCTGTTTGATGATAGTTGTAGTAATTCTCCACGTTTCAGCTCCGTACAGTAGAACTATCTTAACGTTTGTACTGAATATTCTAGCTTTGATGTTGGTTGACAGTTATTTTGAGTTCCTTATATTCTTCAGTTGCAGGGATGTGGCTCTTGATTTACCAATCCTCGCTTTTATGACATTAAAACATGTATACTTGAAAGCTGATTTCACATGATGTATAACAATTTCAATGTTTCAGGTGGTAGTTTTTTTCCGCCGCGATGAAAAAATCGTTTTCAATAAACAATTCATAATCAAATAAGCAGTATTGGTAAATATGTTGCATGAGTTTGTATGTAGTTAACCATAAAAACAAGTCCTCATTTGTTTAAATATTATAGACTTTGGTGTTTTTCAAATTAAAATCAAACGTAAGAAACTAAGTCTTTAGATTGCCTTTCCAGTAGTATATTTTTCATATTAAGAAACGTTAAACCTTAAGTTGTAACATAAAAAAACTGGCAAAAAACATATTCATTTAGTAATTTCACAGATCGAAATCATGAGTCAATTAAAGCTAGACCACCATGAGAAACCTAGAAGCACTGGACGGCCATTTCGTCCTAGTATGGGACTCCTCAGCAGTGCGCATCCACGATCCCGCACCCCGCGGGATTAGAACCCAGGACTTACTGGTTTCGCGCGCGAGCACTTAATCATTAGACCACTGAGCCGGCATCCAGTGTTTTTTATGGTAGCGCTAAGACTCTCTAGTTATTAACCGTTTTCAGTAACATATTTAAGAAACCTACAAGAAATAGACAATTTTAAATAAAGTTGAATTTTTATCATCTGATACTATAAACAGATATATTGGTGTATAGTTCCTTAACCCTAACAAGACTCTGTATTAAACAAATTCATATGCACTTATAACATAGTGTCTAACTACCGGTGTTTAATAATTATACTTTTCCATGATATTATGTCATATCTATGAATAATTATAATGCGATTGATTACTAAGAAATTACATGTTATATATACATATATGGAATTTGAATGACACATTACTCAAAATAAGGAGGTAACCTCAACTCTTCTTATCTAGAAAACGACAATAATCTGTTAAGATTTTCACTAGTTGGTCACAAACGATCCATAATAGTTTCCAAGTATATATTTCATTTTAAAATGATAAACTTACCACCAATAACCCATATTTCCAAATGCATTGATATGATTCATTGTTAATATATATATGAATAAAATGAAAATAAATAATCCATTGATAGAATATTGTTTTCCTTTATAATATTGACACCTTTTATAATATTTAATTATGAACATTGTGGTTATGTTTTATATTATCCTTCAATGAATAATGATGAGTTTTTCATTATTGAATTGATTTTATTCAAACAAACAAAAAGAAACATTTTTTTTAGTTTTTCATTACTATACAAATAAATCCTTATCTTGGAAACATGTCACTATGGTTTAAGGTGAAATTAAAATTTAAAAAGATATTTGGCGGTTAATATTGTTATTTGAAAATAAACAAGAGATAATGAAATTATTATATATATATATATATATGTAGTTGTTAAATGTTCTATACTATACAATATTATGGTGTGTACTTTGTGTTATAGTTAGGTATATTACGCCTACACATGTGTTATGTTTGTCAGTGAATACATATATGTCTCTATTAAGATGCACAGATTCTTCTTTGAAAATAACAAACAAACAACACATTTTAAGCTTGTTTCTAATCTGTTACATAAGATGGGTACCATTTCATGGATGAATTCCCTAAGTATCATAGAGTATCATTTGACAAATATAAAGAATAGAACAAATATAATAAGTATGATTAACGAACAAGCGTACACAATCTATTGTTTAAAATAATTAAAGTATATTATTAATTATGTATATTGTTTAGTAATCTCTACGGGTATGTAGGCGTATTCACTAGATTGTATATATGTATCCATAGGGTATGTGATTGGAAAAACAAAGAACGACAAATCATAGATATTAGTTCATAGACAAATAAGGTATAAATTTTATTTGAATATCATGAAAGAAACAAAATGCTTATTGGCATTCATAATACAGTATTGTATTTATCCCTTCATATTGTAAATACATACGTTCACATATATATTGTATAGTTTTATATAAAGAAATTCACTAGTTTATTGTCTTTCTACCTATTTACCTATCTCATTTCATTGTATTCATTGAGGCGTATATTTTTATTCTATGTCATATTAGGATAATATCCGTCAATGTTTTAAGAAATAAAAAACAACAACTAAATTCTCATTGGTTAGCTTATTTAATGAATGGATAAACTATCTATCAGTTTAGGGGTTGTGGATATTGTTAAGTTTTTGATTGAGATCATGAACCGATTGATGTTAGACTACCATTGAAAATCTAGAAGCACTGGGCGGCCATTTCTTCCTATTGTGGGAATCCTCAACAGTGCGCATCCACGATCCCGCCGTCTAGTGCTTCCAGGTTTTCAATGGCGGTCTAACATCAATCGGTTCATGATCTTAATCGAAGAAGATAAATTATCTATAAATGAGTAGAATGAGTTAAAGTGGATACCTCCATAGACTGTAAATTACTGAATACATGATAAGATGTATTATTTCATTTGTTGAGATCATGAGTCAGTTGAAGTTAAATCATCATGGAAAACCTGGAAATACTGGATGGCTATTTTGTCCTATTGTGTATAATTGTTTAGATTAGTGCACTCATGTATTGAATTTTGAAAAAAAATGACCTAAAAGTAGTTACATGAACCAGGAAATATTACTGAAACTATACTTTTTAAACAGATCTCTCCTTGTTAAGTCATTCAAACAACAAAAATATTGTACATTGTACAATGTTTATGAAAAAAAACCCTTTTACTAAAAGGATTTATCAAGTCATCAAATCTTGCCTTTAGATGAATGAATCAGAAAACAAACTGATAAATACGCATATTCTTGGTACCCCTTACTGTTTTAAGTAATATAGAGAATCATAAGTTGATGCATATTCAAAATAAGATAATATGAAAAGATATTATATTATAATAAATCCAATTTTAACTCGTGGACCTATGAACGTGGAATTGAACTATTCAAAGGATCATCTAGTAATGACCTATGCTTACCTAAATTTATACGTCTGTAGTGTCGGTTATTATGTTAAGCTCATATACCTTATTCTGGCTTTCAAACAGGTCAATCTGTTCATTCTACTTGAGTCATATTTTCACCTTGTTAATTATTCGCATATGTGGGTACATTTCTTATCCTACTCAGCACATTTCTGTAACTTATTTTTGTGTGACTATAAATATTGATTAACGCTGGACTAAATGGGTTTGGCTTACCCGTCGCTTCGCTTTATTCCGTTCACTTCATATACAAAATATATGTATTCAAAAGTCCATTCTCGTTATTTGACTTACTTAATTTCGTTATTGACTAACGCGATTTGAGTCGATGATTATATACGAGGGTAGACGACATGTATATTTCAATAAAAACCATTCATACGATCAAATTGGAGTCAGATCTCGGGTCACTAAAGTGGAGAACCCGCCGACAACATCGTACGGTCTAATTGATGTAAAAGGGGAGAACCCCACTAAATATCGACAACTTACATTTATAAATGGACCCAATCTCCCTATTTTAGGGAAAAATTTTCTCTGTTTTGCGGTGATTTTGAGAAAATGGCACAAAAACCCCAAAATTTCCTCAGGTCTGGAGATAATCCCAAATATGTTTGGGGAAATTTTAAGTTTTCCTAAATATTTCTCCAGAATTTTATGACACTTTATGGAAAACTACCAAACTTTTCACAACTTTAGGGAAAACCTCAAATTTACTCAAAGTTTCCTCAAAATAGGAAAATTCGAAATATTTGATCAAGTTAATCTTACAATTGTTATCCAAGATTGTGGTAAAGAATGGATTTTTCAAAGAATTTCATTATATTCAATTCTAAAGAAACCTCTACACACAGACTATCAGTTATGTTTACTGTGAAAAAAAAATCTATGAAAAACTAACCAGCAAAATTTGTAGAAAATTAGGATTTTCAAGTGTCTGCTTTTTTTTTAATATTTTCGCAATAAAATTGTTTATTTACATAATATAAAATGTTTGTTCTTTTAAAAGTAGAAGTTTATCATAGTTTTTAAGATAGCGGGGAAGATTTGTAGCTCAGGTGGATGATTTTGATGGAGATTTGTTCTCTTAGCTGGTTGGTTTAGTCGTGAAGCTTTCATCGTTCTTCTGAACGACATCATCAGCACAAACTTCACTTCTAGCTGAAGTGTATGCTGATGATGTCGTTCAGAAGAACGATGAAAGCTCCAAGACCAAACCATCTAGCTCAGAGAACAAAACTCCATCAAAATTTATCATAGTTGATGAAAATTTTTCTATTTAATGTTTTAATAATAATCCTCATTAACTGGTAATGAAATCAGCGATATATATTTCTGACTTAAGATACATGTGTCATAATGTCTTTCATTCAGACAAATTATTGAAATAACTCTAAATGATGGAATGCTTTAATTTATTCAAGGAATTGATTTGTTACACTTTTAGTGAGTACGATATCATATACAGGGATGCAGTTAGAGTTCAGTTTTCTAAGTTTTAGAATTTCGTTCGTGTTGATACAAAGTAATCTTTATCCAGTAGTATTGGTATGTGCTACTGATGTTGACAGATGTTATTGGTATGTCTCACCAATCGAAAGCGAAATGCCTGGTAGCAGAAGGTTAGGAAGATCAAAGAAAAGATAACGAGAACAAAAAATGATTGGTGTGAAATCAAAAAAACAATGAAAACTGAGACGATTTATTGACATTTTACAAATGGAGTACTTACTATATGGTTCTCAGATTCTAATTAAAATGTTCTGTAATTTTGTTTTCAAATACATTCGATTGTCCCCACTTGTGTTCCCGTTCACTACCCGATGATCTTTATCTCGTATTGATTAGATCTAAAGATTATGGAGTTCCTTTCTCAAGAAATTATCACCCCAGCTACTTACTAGTCAGTAATGAATTTATCAACCCTTACTGATATTCATCCCGTTAGTTGATAGTAATATCTCGCATTATCTAATTTTCAGTATTTATTTAATCGAATATGATTTATAATAATAATGACAGTATACAAACAGCTTATTATTGATAAATGAAAGAAGAATAATTTGGGTTGTACAGAAAACTAGTTTAATAAAATAACATTATATAATCATGTTATCTCATAAATTATTGGAGGAACAGTTTTTCTATGACTTTCATCCATGTTTCCTCAAGTTATTTGTCGAATGCGCTACCTATTTAACAATATAATTTATACTAATCACTATAACAAATATTACGTAACATATATGTCAATGATCTCAATTTCATAACTAGAAAACATTAGACAATTATATAGTGTTAGTAGTGAACTACCTCAACATTGTACATTGATGGTCCTATTGTGAATCTAACCTGAACTATTTAAGTCTCGTGAATAGCACATAACGTGTAAGCTACTAAACCGACATTCAATAATTTAATGTTTTTAAGAAAAATTTCGGTCTATTCATGATATTACTTAAACATTTTTCAAAAATGTTGATAGATATCTGCCTTACACTGGACATAGCTGAACTCCTCTGGTTATGTCTTCTCATTGTATGGGGTGGAAACTTGGAGAACTACGGAAGCTATCATCCAGAAGGCATAAGTGTTTATTAACGGTTGCCTAAGCAAACACTACCAGTAACAACCTACTGTAGGAGAGAACATACCAGATACCAGTGGAGGAAGAAATCTAGAAGAAGCGATGGAAGTGGATAGGAAACACATTGAGGAAAGCAACCAATTGCATCATAAGGCAAGCCCTCACTTGGAATCCTCGAGGCTAAAGGAGAAGAGGAAGATCAAAGAACACATTACACCGAGAAATGAAGACAGATATGAGAAGAACAAACAACAATTGGATAGAACTAGAAAGGAAGGTCCACAAGAAAGTGGATTGGAGAATGTTGTTTGGCAGCCTATGCTCCATTATGAGTAACAGGCGTAATTAAGTATGTAAGTAAGTAAGTAAGTAAGTAAGTAAGTAAGTAAGTAAGTAAATAGGTAGGTAAGTAAGTAAGTAAGTAGGTAGGTAGGTAGGTAGGTAAGTAAGTAAGGAAGGAAGGAAGGAAGGAAGTAAGTAAGGAAGGAAGGAAGGAAGGAAGTTCGAAATGGATCACTAATAAACATATCATTATTATTAAATTGATGGATTTGTGCAATGTATTAAATTTTATAATTTACATAATAGATGAACAACTTCTATAAACCCTTCAATGAATTAATTCTTCATAAACTACTTGATTATTTCACATGAAACATTAAATCCATTATAAGTAGTAATAAAAATATTTGTCTTTTAATTCATTTGTATCATTGAATTCCTTCATAAAACAAAGTAACAATCATGATAGTTTCATTATTCATTAAAAGAAACTGTAAAAATAT